ATCATTCAAACATCAGACTGTAGGAACAAGAAGAAACACTGATTTCTGACTGGAGGGAACTTTTTTTCTTCAGTATCAAAGTAATCCAGTGATATTTGTCTGTGCATCCCGCAAACAGGAACTGCTAAAAGCTAGTTCAGCAGACTTTTAATTGAACCAATATAACAAAATGTAAACAAAAAAAAATAAATAGACAGGGCTTGACACAATAGCAGAACCATGTAGCTGCAGCACATTTAATGAACTTTGACACTACTTGATACTTAAATGCCTTCAATGGGACTTTAAAGCTGCAACCATGGCTCACGTCTAAGGTGAAAAGTGTTGTTTGTACTGATTTTGGCTTTATTTTCCTGTCGGATTCAGTCTCAGTGTTTCCAGAAGCTGCAGGTAGCTGTTATTATCACAGTAAACTACCTGCTTTGCACCAAACAGCAGACAGACACAGTTATAGACTAGCTGGTAAAAAAAGTGGACAATCTAGTAGCTTAAGAGCCAGATATTTCCCTCAGGAGTGGAGACCAAAAACAGAGCTGAAACAGAGTGAATATTGGACTCCATCAGGTGAAAACAAACATAACTCCAGAGGCGTGATCAGTGAGCTTTCTTTGTGTCTGCTGGATGAGTAACAGCTGTTTGATGATTACAACGTATTAATGCGTTATATTGCAACGCCCACATCCTTCTATATTACTAAATTGTTTTTGCAATGAAGACAATGTAATACCTGCCTGGATTGTGTTCAGAGAGTTTGTTGAAACACTACATTAAAGTAATGTGGAAATGGATTTTAAGGGGCCTACGAGCATGATTCGTGACATCACAGATAGTTTGGAAGTCAAAGAAATTGGTCAAATACTGCTCGAAAGGCTTTAGTTCCCAACATTTACTGAAAAATTGTCTTGTCAATATGAGAAACAAATGTAACCTAAAGTTATAATAAATAGTTGGTAGCTTAACCACATCAAATTGAGTCAAAAGCTGTGATACTACTAATCTGCTAGTTACTTTTAGTAAGTTTACCTGCTTTTTATTCTCTATCATGATTGGATTTAACTACTGCTTCATTTATTTTTTATGGAATGTTAAAATACCAAGAAATTAGCACGAACTAGCTAGATTTGACTTGATGTAGTTGACTGTCTCTCGGTGACAGAGTGCCGTTAAGCTGAGAACGGCTGTGCATACAATTACTTTTAATGCTTTTCTCCCAAAATCACAAGTTAATTATTTTGTTATTTTCAAGAAAAACAAAAAGCCAATTTCTTGAGATGAAGAGATCATGAGACAACAACTTTTGTTTTCCTGAGATTACAGGATAATTATGGAGAACTCGGAAATGAGTCTCTGGTTCATTCGATGTTGATTTTAGCCTTCAAGATCATGACTGTCCTGGAGGATTAATAACTGAACAGCAAGCCAAAGCATAAATGTGTAGTTTTATTTGCTGCAATGCAATCTATGCAGTCTGGCATGGCACTCTGATAGTATAAGTAATAAGGGGTAATAGCCTTTTATTTTCTCTCTTCTCTTCTTCTCTTTTATCTCATTATCTTGAGATAACATAGCTTGTTTTATCCAGATAACAAAATAATTAACTCGTGAGCTCGAGAGAGAGAGCACGGCCATTCTCTGCTCCCGTAGTTCCAGCTTCAACAGATCCCTCCTCTGTATTCCCGCTGGTCCCTCTTCACTCATTGTATTTCTCTACACTGAGTCCAGGTTTAGTACAGTTCGGTCCCGGGCGGCTCGAGCTTTCTCTCCATCCTGCCTGCAGCAGAGACAGTTGCAGTGTTGAGTTTCCTCATGACTGATGTGCTGTCGGTTATTCTGAGGCCTCCGTTCATCTCCTAATATAGAGCTTCAGCTGCGGTCATTTAACCAGGAAGCAACAGGCAGTTTGTTGGAGACAGTCGTCGCCAGTGGCTGAATAATGAAGGCCGGGACAGTAATAAGAAAAAGATAAATGACTGCTGGTCTACACCCAGGGCCAGTCTGCCTCGGCTGTTGTTCACAACACTGGACATTAGAGGACAGTGTGTAATTTCAGAGGAGTTAATGGGTTTTGGTTTGTAATATTTATGCAGTGTGGCAATGAGAGAAGCTGAGCAATGACAAGTTTATGAGTTAAACCTCCCACAGACATGAACACAATTAAAACAAGAGGTCAGCAAACACAGAATGTTGCTCTAACATCTACAATAGAGGAATTGTTTGATATATATTTTCCTGTAATATTATTTGTTGACAACAGAGCTTGTTCCTATTAATCTTAATGTTTCAGTGTGTAACATTTATGAGGATATATTGGCAGAAAAAGAATATAATATTCATCGGTATGTTTTCATTAGTGTTTAATTTTTGTTACCTTAGAATGAGAAATGTTTGTCTTCCATGGTCACCATGTTGAATCATTTTTCTACAGTAGCCCAGAAGGGACAAACACTGGCTCTACCGTAGTTTCTCCTTCACACTCTCCCAGGTCAAATATAGACGCAAGCTGTGTTCAGTTAGATGCAATGTACAGCTTCACCACTATATGGCACAAGACCCTACACACAGTCCTTTAACTATAAATAAGCAGAAGTACAATGTAACTATGTACATTGTAGTCCCTCCAATAACATGCAAGGTTGAGATTGCAACAGTTGATGCAAATTCAATCAATCCCTATGATTTCTGTGAACCCTTGCAAATTGTCCAATCACCAAAACCTTTCTGCAAATTTGACCAATCATAGCAGTTCTCCGTGCAGAACGCTGAGCCACACATCACCAAACTACTATCGATTTTATTCTCACTGGACCAAAATGTCTTCAATTGTTATTGAATTATAATTTTTTATTTTTTTTGCCATGTTTATTTTCCCTCTGCCATTCCATTGCAAAATATTGCTACGAAGCCCTGAAGGGACTGACATTAACTCAAGTACTGTACTTAAAGTCCCCCTAACCAGAGGTGGGAAATAACTGGAAAGTACTGTGTTACTGTATGAAAGTATTTTTTTTGTACTTTACTTGAGTATTAACTTTTTACCGTTACTCCCTACATTTCTACACAACTATCTGAACTTTCTACTCCCTGCATTTTCAAAACAGGCTCATTACTTCAGTTTAAATGTATTTTAGGTTTAATCGATAATGATTTTATGTGTTGACAAGTAAAACATTGACTGGTGTGTTTTTATTTGGTTGAACTGTGCAGATGGTCCAAAACATGAAAACCACACTGAGTGTGAATGATACTGGCTGGTTAGTCTGTGTGTTCACGTAATTAATGTGTTTGCTGTCTTTCTGCTGATGGCTTTGGCTCGAGCTCAACAGCAGAGTCTGAACTTCCTGTTGGTCTCTCTTGCTCCTCTGCCACCACCCGAGGTTATTAATACATGCCTCGACCCACATTCCCTGCCGGTGTAATTATTGTGTCATTCACAGTGTCTGGACGTGCTCTGATGACTCCTCCCTGATTAATGAGTGCGATCGTTGCAGGTGGCCACAGTTTAATTAGGATTAATTTGCTTTCACATCCAAAGTCACCTGTAGGGCGCAGCAGGAGCAGGCCTGGGAGGAGGTTCCATCAGGAGCTGGTTTGTTTCAGTTGGCATCAAAAACATCAAAAAGTGTCAAGAAACATGAGACAATCAAGTTTATTTTACATTTGGCATATATTTAAAAAAAACAAGACAAAAGAATCATAGACCATCACAAGGAAAAAAATTAAAAGCACAATATCAGAGAGGGGAAATTCAGGTGTTCCAGCCGGAGAAGACAAATAATAAAAAATAAAGAGGGAAAAATAAATTAAATATGAAAATCAAAATAGTAATTATAGAAAGAAAAATAGAAACTATACAAGACCAATTAACCTAAAAATTACAAGACAACAGTAATATTTTACTAGAAAAAAGTCTGATTGATTGTTTAATCTCATAATGTGACAGATTTTGGTAAAAATGTAGCTTATCATTAATTAAAATGTGAAAACTCACAGCAGCAAAATTGACTTACCACTGGATGTTGCACTAGAGCACCAGTATCTCAGATCAAAAGAATGGGAGAGAAACAAAATAAAACTCACCAAAACTGTCTTTGTTGATCGTCAACGCTGGATTGGTCGAAATAAACCCATAATTCACAGAGTTAGCTCTTAAAGTATTGGTGAAAAGGGCTGTAATGGCCTCAATGTAAACTAAATTAAATCCCTGGGGAGAAATCTGCCCGTCAAAGTACATCCACTAAAAGTGCTAAAAGGATCCCTCCAGAGATTGATCTTTTGTTTACCCAGAAACAGCTGTAATCTTGCTCTATTCAAAGCCACCAGACTCCATTGACAAAACAATAAATTTACCTTGCAGAACATTGGAGTGGTCTAGTTGGACCAATTGGAACGTTAACTTGATGATGGCAATAGATGGCAATAGATGAAAAATCAGAGGAAGTTATTACAATCCATCTAGTAGTAGTCGAGATCTTACAGTCTGAACCAAAGTGGAGGACCGACCGTCATTGCCCCACAGCTAAAACTGGATGGTATCATTATTATTATTATCAGCCATCTTACGTTACAGGTGTTGTTCCTGCCAGCAGCTTCCTGTCTGAATGAGTCTCCGTTACCCTTCGTCTGTAAAAATAGAAAAAACTTGATCTCATGAAGATGTGTGTTTGAGGCAAGACGCTGCAGGTCAGGTCTGTCAGTGTGTCTCAAAGGAATATCATGTTTTCTATCTGGACCTGCATCAATGAGCAACATAGCAATGTATCCATAATGGCTAGAAGAGACAGATGAGAAGATGGATATCAGTTTCATCTGTGTGTGTCCAGTGCAGTGATTGATTCGCAGCCTTGTGAAAGTCAATGTCGACATGCAGTGTAACATTTTATTAACTGATCAGTGGGCTCAAAATCTTAGCAAACCAGACTTTTGCCTGATAAATTTCTGGGAATACTGAGATTAAAAATCCAGCAAAACTGAACTTTAAAGTGTTTTAATACTTTTTAAATCCTCTTATTATCTGTTTACCAGATGTTTCAGACGGATATCAGTTTCAGCATCCAGCACAGAGACAGGTCCAGGACGTGTAGCTTAGCACAAAGACTGGAATCAGACGGAAACTGCCCCAAATGTCAGAGTATTCCGTTAAGGGATCTAATTAAAGACTCTGCACACCCACAAAGGTGTTGTCAGTTGACCTGACTGATTAGACTTGTGCTTGGGTTGAAGTCTGGCTGAGATATGCCAATAACTAGGTGAGGTCACAACTTCAGCATGGCAGTAAGAATGAAAAGTTGTAGGTCATCCTACCTGAACAGGTGCAACAAGAGAGGGAGAAAAGTGAAAACACCTGCAAGGCTGTACGAAGAGTGTGAAAAGGGGTCCTTCTCATTGTATTGTAAAGTCATAGATACCACATCAGCAATGGAAAGTATTTACTCAAGCGCTGTACTTGAGTCTGTTCTTTTCATGCTACTTTCACCTTCTACTTCACTACAATTACCTTTAATCACAGGTTACTTTAATTACAGATTTACTTTCAAAGTAAGATTTTTGCACACAAAACATATTAAGAGCTTATAATGTTATATGATGTTTTGTTATAAATTAAACTACCCAACAGTTAAATACGTGTACAGCTGAAACAATTTGTCAATCAAAGGTCCATTGTGTCCAGTATTTAGCAGCATCTAGCAGTGAGGTTGCAGATTGCAATAAACTGAAAACCCTCACCTCAACCAAGTGAAAAACCTAAAAGGCCCTTTCCAGAGTTTGGTTTGTCCGCTCTGGAAGAATGTATGTAGGTCACCGTTTGTCAGTGAATAAAGGCTGCAGCTTCTCAAGACCAAAGTAAAGCTCCCATGGGTTGTATCCTAACTGCTGGATGTTGCTAATCAGCTCTGCCTGCGTTGACTGGATACTATCAAAAGTACTGTGTACAGTGGAAAACAAAGTATAAGTACCAAAAGGGAGTCGAGGAGGCTTTACTGTCCTGATCTACCTGTTTAGAAGCCCTGTTTTCCTGATTGTATATTTTCTTTTCTGTAGGGCGATACGGAGATCCCATCAGTGGCCGTCACCAAGTCTCCCAAAGGAACCGGCCTGGATGGGCTTGAGATCGAGCCTGACTCCTACGAGGTCCCTGTCGACCTCTCCTCCGATGAGGAGTACCTGAGTGTGGAAGAGGCCGACCCCTCCCGGGCTGCCCGCATCAAGAAATCTGTTGCGAAGAGTACAGAGACCCTGAAGGCCGCTTTCTCCAAGGAGAAGATGAACAAAACCAAAGACAACCTGGGCACCAAGTTCCACAACCTGGGCGAGAAGGTCATGCCAGCCGAGCGGAGGGACAAGATGCACCAAGCTGGCGAGCGGCTGAAGCAGTCTGGCGAGCGGCTGAAGGAGAACATCGCCAAGAAGGCTCCGACCAAAGAGAGCTTCCGCATCAAGCTGAAGAAGGAGAGAGCAGTCGCTGAGGGCCAGGAGGGCGCCGAGGCTGAGACCGTGGAGCCAGCAGTGCTCCCTGGTGTCACCTACACAGAGGTCGCCATGGAAACCAAAAGGGAGGGCCCTGTGGAGGAGGCCGGCGCCACCCGGATAGGAGAAGAGGATTGCACAAAGTAGATCAGACGTCAGATCAGACAACGACGAGGAGGGGGGACACTGGAGAAAGATTGTAATGCCCAGGATTTAAAAAGAAGGTCTGTGATTGTTCGTCATCGATGATGGATATCTTTATCCGCCAGAATGTGTTAAAACAGAAGTTCTTGAGTTGGGAATCGGTACTGACACCAGAAACTCATCAGAACTGGTTATTTATGAAATCTATTTCAGAGTGTCACGTCAGTCTATCAGATGTTATCTATTTTTAACAATTAATTTAAACAACTTGACGTGAATGTGAGAATTTCTATTTTGAATGCACTATGAAAAATTCTGGTTTAGGATTTGTTTGTCTAATTTGTGAGTCCAAACTGAGGTTGAGGTTTATTTGCACAGAGATGGCAGAAAGGAAAGAAGGAAAGAAAGACAGTAAATGGTTGATAAAACTTTGAAAGTGATGATAAATGTCGAACAGAAGTTCACATGTTGATCTTTTGTCTGGATGTACATATGATGTTGTACATACTGCCTAAACTGGGGAGGTAAAATTTGGTTTGTGTAGGACTCAGCTGGTCTCTGAGATACCTGAAGAGAAAATAGAACAAAATGTATCCAATGTCAGACTGGTTTCTGTATGCAAAATAGTAGAAAGGAGATTAAGTAAACTTTGCGGTGCTTAAAAGCAACCTCAGTGAACGCTTCGAAGTGTTGGGATTTCATTACCCAGAAATGAGGCAACACGTGATGATTCATGCTGCCTTCATTTCATGTGGTACAGAGACTAGATGAGAAGTTATCTGGAGTTGGCAGTACGATGGGCAGAGAGTTGCTAATGGAGGGATAAAATATGGTTTACAGTTACCATAGTAGCATTAAATTACAGTAAAGTAGTAGGGCTAAATTGCCATTTAGTTTCACTCCATTCAATCAGCCTCACATTGTGTTCATCATAGCTGATTAATGGTTGTAAAGATTTTGGATGGATGTAGCTAGCTAGTCAATCTTATTTGTATAGCCCTTTCAACAACAAGGCAATTCAAAATGCTTTTCATAAGATATGAAGGCATTACGAAGAGATATAATATAAAAGACATATATATAGGTTTTTAAATGAGTGAAATAAAATAGAAAGGCATAATTTAGAGTGGAATAAAACAGATCAAACAGGAGAGTAACAGTTACAGCGCAGCAACAGGATATAAATGCTATATGGGCTGTATGATGCTTACAAAGTTTTCCTTGTTCTCCAACTGGTCAGTGAATGCTACACCAGATCTATTTGAATCAGTAAATTGACCCGTCCTATGTCCCGCTTTTAACATTTGGCTAATATTATCTATTAAATGTAACTAGCAAGCTAACAATTGTTGTAGATTAGATAGCTAGTTATTTAGTGTTCTGCTAACAGCTAATTTATGAAATTTATTTTCAACATAGATTAGTCTAGCAGCAAAAGTGATTGATGCTTGCTCAACTGTTATTGGAGCACATAGCAAAAAGGGGCGGGACTTAGGAAGGGTCAATTGGTAATGTGAACGGGCTCCCTTACAGCAGAGCTTTGTTCAATTGTTAGTTGAATTCAAAAGTTAGCAATGTGTAAACAAGTGTCTCTTAACCGCTTGAACTCTTTAAATTTCCCCTTAAGTGTCTTAACATTTTGAAAACTAACTAACTAAAAGGTCCAGTGTGTAACATTTTGGAGGATCTATTGGCAGAAAATTAATATAATATTTATAGGTATGTTTTCATTAGTGTATAATCACTTGAAAATAGGAATAATGTTGTTTTTGTTACCAGCGTTACAATTAAGCTGCTTTATTTTCCCACTGAGTAAAATAGTGAGAGTATTTTTTAATGGATGCACTGGTCCATCAAATGGAAATATTCAACACTTTTCCTCAAAATTCAGCATGAAAGATTTGGAAACTTTGGAATTATAAAGTTATTTAAATAATATAATAAAGTTATGAGAGTTTGACTTTAGAAAACAAAACATTAATTTGATCAAATCTTTACTCAGTGCAGCTTTAATTTTGATTGAGCAGCACATTAAACTAATGAAAACTTTGCATGAACTTTATAGCAACACAGTCACTTGTATTTGTGGCAAAGCTTATCTTGATTGTCATATTTTAGACATTAGACTGCAATTACTCTTCTGAAAGTGAATGTAGTGGATTTAAGGTCGTCTGAGACATGGTGTTTGGCGGCTTCAAAGCTTTTTTGAGCACTGCTGAATTTTGCCGTATGAATGTTTTAATTTTTTTTTTTTTTTTTTCAATTTTGCTGCTTGATATTCATAGTTTCTTTTGAAGTTCAGTGAGCATACTGACTTTATTCTCCAGGAGTGATTAGTGAGGTCACAGCTTTCATCGGGATGATAGGATTTTCAGTCATCAGGTACTTTTTATGTAGCTCGGCTTATAGTGCTGTCATGATATATCAGTACACTGTCTTATTCTGAAAAATACACTTCCTGTATAGCTTTTAACTTACTACTGTATTTATGTTCCTGCTGAGTCAAACTGTGTTGATGGTGATTTTGATGCAGTAGATTGATAGTATTTGATTATATGGTTGGAAGGTTTCATCTCTTGGTTTCATTCTTGATTACAGCTCTGTTTCCATGTTGCATTTCTGTTCATTTTTACAATCATCTCAATCCAGTTTTAATGCTTTACAATGAAAAACAGCTGATTGAGGACCTGTATTGTTGTTGTTTTGGCCTGTACTGTACAAGCAGCACCAGACATTAATCATTTTGTTTTGTTTTTGTATAAATAAAGTTCTCATGAAACCTGTATGAATTGGTGTGTTGGATAAAAAATACACACTGAAAAACAACTGTTGTTGATGGTGGCTTTTTAAGAATTAACATTAAAGCTATAATATTATATATATATATATATTTCCACATTAAACTGTCTATAAACACCAGATCCCTCTTATATATGTTGTTGAGTTGTGTACTTACATTATCCCAAATGTTTCCAACAATGTTTAAACTCCGAAATCTGTCATTTTATTCAGCAGTGCTTTAGAAATCATTTTAGCTGAAGCCTTCACAATACATTTTCACCAGGAAATGTATTTTCTAGTTGTATGATTGGCAACAATCACAAATTGTTCTCTTCACTCTTTATTTCATATGCTTGTTATTCTTCTGTACGATGTACTTGCATATTTTTGCAGATAGACAAATTCAATTTGGCTAATATTCATCTTTTTGATATACAGTTTTTTAAAGAATGGCTCGTCAGCCAAATCTCAAATACTATACATGCTAAAGTCATCAAACCTGGTACACAGTGCCCCATGGAGATGTGCTAAACATATTAAAGCATGTAGTTAGTCTATTCAACAGTCCGCCACTCTATATTTTTCAAAATATGCAAAATCAATTAACATCTCCACAAGCCTTTATTCAAATGCTACTAAAATCACCACAGACATTGTTTGGATACTGTATATCACATTACAGTTTGAGTACGCAGTGATATTCACTGTCTTTTGTAATGTCTCAAAGCATATTTCATGTAGTCCAGGACATGACAGATACAGGTCAGAAGTCAGTGCTGTATACAGGTCAGAAGTCTGATCTGTTTATTTGATTCAATTAATAGTAACACTAATATTAATATTAACTTTATTTCATAAGTTTTAGTGAAACTAATTGTCTTTCAGAGAGTTAGTAAGGATTTGGTCTGTACTGTCTATTTGATTCAGATTTGACCCTTGGACAATGATACCTAAGTTACAGAGGTCAGGTCAGATACAGGACAGAGTTTAGTGCTGTAGATACAGGGCATACTACTGTTACTGCTACTATTGTTTGTAATTAGTTATTAAACTTTTGAAGGCATGGACTGATACTGGCCTGAAAACTGAATTGGATGACAAGCAAATTTGTGGATGTTGTACATAATGCCACATTGTTTGTGGAACATTTCATACAATTCTACCTACAATAGCTCCACCTTGTGACCCTGCCATAGCTTATGAATGCAGTATCAAATTTTGGGTGGCATCTTCAGATGTGAATCACAAACACTTCTTGCTGGGACTCTTTCAGAAGCTGTGTCTGCGAGCAAAGGTAGCGGTGGCAGCAGCATATGCAGCAATCACACAAATTTTTTTCAGGAAATGAAAATATTTTAGTTTATATCATTATAAGCAGGTCTGAGCCTTTGATGTTATCTGGTTATATTCACAGACAAGGTTTATCACTAACATCTCAAACTGGTGTTTTAACAGCATCAACAGAGGCTCCGATCGTCTCTCCTCTGTGTCGCTATCTTCCACTGATCTCATCCATCTGCGACTCAAATTAAATCACTAACTTGATGTCGGCTCCAGCAAAACACGATCACTCAACTGAGTCAGCAGAGTCCCGCAGATTCACTCCTCCGCTGGCGTCGGCCTTCTAAATGAAATGCCAATCATTCCGCTTTGCTCTGCAGGGAATTTACAGTTCGACTCGTCTCTGTGTGGCCAGAGGTTTCAGCAGCAGTTTGTCAAGTGTGAATTTATTGGCTTTTATTTCCTCAAAGGGTCCAATCAAACCAACCAGCTGCAACATAAACCCTGTAAAGATGATAAAAGACGTTCTCTGGTCTGACGGGAGTATCAGACGTGCAATCAAATAATCTGCATTACAAAAGAGAAAGAGCTTTTTTCTAAAAGTAAACTTGCATATTTATTTGATTAACAATATGATCCCAGGAAAATTGTAAAATGTGTTTACCTCAAACATTATTCATATTCCGGGTCCACATTTAGAAAGAAGGTATATGGCAGTGTTTAAGGTATACTAAACGTTTTATTCTTCTACGTTGTGAATATTAAAATTCACATTTAGGCAGTGTAGACTTATTAACCAAGTGTTATCTATCTCTATCTGTTGTACAGACTTTGATCTTGTCATATACCAAATGTATATTCTGGTTGTCTCCTTCCCCCTTGCTTATTTTACCATTTAGTTCATCGTGCAATTGCCCCGCTTTTCCTGCCTGTCTGTTTCCATTGGGAATCACATTCTTGCCTTTTGTTTTACTTCCTTTTGGTCCTAATGGTAATCATGTAACATTTGGTGACTGCCTGGTCAATTGCTACCATCTACATACTGTCTGTCACCTGGTCTGGTGTATGAAAGTGCTTTATTTAATTTGCTCTGGGTCCACTCAACGACTCAGATCTGCTCTGTGTCTGTCAGTTCACCAGTGTGCCGGCAAGCTTCAATAAACTCACACCACCACAGCAAACCTCTGAACTGGACTTGAATTTTTTCTTCATGATTTCTTCAACAATTCAACACATTTTATTAATTCTTTGTGCAATTCTACTTTGAACAACAAAAATTGAGGTGTCTGGAAGATGCTACTTTTGCAGCAGTGTTGAGTTTGGCATAGTCAACTACAACTTGTAAAATATATTTAAAACAAGCTCACTACAGTTTATAACCATAGACATGAACGCACGCCTGCTCCTGACTAATATCCATTCTGGATGAAATTGGCCAAACAATGAGAAATCAGAGAGTGCTGTACCCACATCCTCAACTGTCAGAGAGCGGGATGAGAGAAGGTGGACTTCGACTTTGTTTGGATCGATGATGCTTGCTGCTCAAACACAGTCAAAGTGGATGGAGAATAAAAATGACACCATATTATGATCACTATCTTGTTTACGTGTGTAGCATGAAGGAACTGCAAACCTTTGTTTTGTTGTACAACCTTGTATGGGATAACGATAAATACATTTCCTTAATCCTTAATCTTAAAGTACAATTAGGCCAGAATTTGTAAACTTATGGTAGTTGAGTAAATGTACTTAGTTCCATTCTTCCACTGGTGTTGGGTGAAAGACATAGGTTTGATTCCTGAACAGAAGATTTGAATCATCAGGTACATTTTGGCTAAATGCCTACACTGTGTTGAAGTCTCTGTGTTAAATGTTATGTGGATATTTCTGTAAATGAGCTGCAGACTCTGATCTGCTCTCTGCAGGTTGTCAGCTGCTGCATCTAATTTCAGAGCTGCTGCTTTTTATAACCTCCACCGAACTTAGAAAGATGACACCTCCGCCACCGTCTGCACCTGCCGCCACAGATATCGGTCGTCGCCTGCGGGCACCTGTGCCTCACTGTTACCAGGTTGTCACGGCAACTGTAGCTACCCATCAAAGCTTGAGAGAAGTGGTGCAAAATGACGTTAATTAATTTCCCCTCGTTCGGGCAGATCTGTGATTCTGAGCTGCATGATAACGGGTTTTCTCTGCAGTGTTTCTCCTCCTGCATGGCGGCACTGACGCCAAAAACCATAATTTTGATTTATTTCAGCGCTTATGAGAGAGAGGCAGAGAGTACGAGATAGAGACGCCGCTCTGGAGTGATTGCATTCAGCTCCATCTGTTTGTTATGCATTAGCTGAGCACAATTGAGCTCTTCAAGCAATCTGTTGAAGAGAAATGGCCTTGGGTGATTCTAGTGTAGAGACGGAAAAGAGGAGCGCCGTCTGCTGATCCACGGCTCTATTAACACAATTTCATCTTCTCCTTCAGTGTGAACACTTTTTCTTCTGTGCCAGAAAGAAACACTTGAATAGCCTGCAGATGTTTCCTCTGTTGCTCTGAGATTGACTTGTCAAATCTAGTCTTTCAGCATTCACAGGTACAGTTTACATTTACATTTTATTGAACTGAGCTGGAATGAATTTAGAGAGCTGCACTCAATTCAGAACTTTTGTATCTTACTCGATTTACCGCCTGAAAGGCCGAACTCTTCGAGTACAATCCAGGAAATGTCTTCGTTAAAATTATCAGTGTGAGACTGCGGATTGTAGAGGTCCAGTGCTGTTTCTTCTTTGTCCACTGTGACAGCTACAAGTCCACAGAAGAAAAGCTGTCAACTGACAAAAGAACCAGTGAGATTGTTTTAAAAACATGTTGCATTTCAACAAGCATCAGCCCCGTCTCCTAGAAATTATACCGCTAATTTGCAACAGCCACGTCATGCAGAAACATAATGCCACCTGAATTACATTTCCAATAAAAGAGTCCACTGATTTAACATTGTCGGACTCACAATGAACAGACACTAATGTCACAGTCACAGAAAAGTACATGCTATAAGGGGTAGTTATGTTACTTTATTCACTGTTACTGAAGAGAAACTAAAAGTCCCAGTTCATACGACGTTAGTGTGACGTCTTCCTGCAATCTACGCGCTGAAAACGCCACTTACCACGGATAAACATTACCCTTTTAGTCCCGTTTAGTCCCGCCCCTTTTTGCTCTGTGCTCAAATAACAGTTGAGCAAACCTCGGCCGAGACATCGGTCAGCTTCTTCCTTTCCTGTACTTAGATATGCTACGTGCTAGGCTACTCTATGTTGAAAAGACAGCACATTTTGAGGATGGTTGAAAGATAAAAGTGACATTATATAGTTGCATCCTAAATTAGCTAATGTTAGCATGTTAACACTAGCTAATCTACATCGGAGAGCAAATGTTTCTAAAACGGAAGCTAGTTATTTAGACACAATATTAGCTAACTTAAGATGCGACTATACAATTTGCCACTTTTGTCTTTTAACTATCTTCAAAATGTGCTTGTCTTTTCAACACGGACAAACCTAGCACGTAGCATATCTAAGTACAGGTAAGGAGATGACTGAGGTTCTGAAAGGGGTGCGAGTTAGGGGAGTCAGTGGATCAAGGTTATACTAAGCTATAATGTGTCATCTTTGAAGAGCTCACAGCAGGTACTGGGAGAATCTCCAATCCATCTATTGATTTCAATTATCA